ATCAATTCCTGCCCTGCAGGATGGGGCTGCAGACCCTCAGGGAGCAGTTTGTCCCGTGGGATTTGTGACAGCATCACTGAAAAAAAATGTGGATTAAAAAATAAGATAAACTAAACCAAACTAAACCCTGTTTCAGGGTTCACTCCCCACGTTTCAGCTCTGACCAGGAGAATTTGGGAATTTGAGTGAACTTCCAGTGATTCCAACTCAAATTTTTAACTTGAGCTTCTCAAGTTGAGCTTTTTCCCAACTCGAAGGCTTTTTCCGACCTTGAAGTTTTCCCCATCTTGAGGGTTTTTCCCAATTATCTCCCAATTCCAGCAGTGATGTGAAAGCACCTCTGATAACCTGCTGCCCTTTCTGCAGAAGAAGCAGCTCCCCAATCCCAGGAAAAGCAAGGAATTCCCAGATCTCAGGAATTGAGAGATTCCCACCTACCTGCTGCTTCAACAAATCCCGAACTTCCAGCAGCACCCGATTGGTTTCCCTCATCTCCTGCAGCATCTCTGGCCCGGCTTCTCCTCCTCCTAAAAAAAACCCGGAGAGGTTGGGAAAATCCCAAAGGATGGAATTGGGAAAATCCCAAAGGATGGAATTGGGAAAATCCCAAAGGATGGAATTGGGAAAATCCCAAAGGATGGAATTGGGAAGATCCCAAAGGATGGAATTGGGAAAATCCCAAAGGATGGAATTGGGAATATCCCAAAGCAAGGATGGAATAATTGGACATTGGAGATTAAACTCTGCCGGTTCCTCGGGGAGGTTTTGAGCCGGGCTTTGCTGGGCAGGGAGGGAGCAGCTCCGGGCTGGCACAGCCCCTGAATTTCACACTGGGGAAGGGATTTCCTGCCAAAAGCAGCAAATCCCGGGCTCCCAGCGCTCCCTGCTCCTCACCTGTTCCCAAGGCATTCCCGGCATTCCGGGGGATGGGATTTCCGAAGGCGAGGTCTTTGCGGGGCGCGCTCGGGTGCGGCCGGCTGGGATCTTTGGGACACAAAGGAYAAAAACCGGGAGGAAAGCTGCTGGAGGATGGCATTTGGGGCTTTGGGATGGGGGAAAAACCTCACACGGGGGAGGGGTGGAGCTCCTGCTGCTCTGGGATTCCGTGGTTTTTAAGGAAAATTTGATTTGGGAATGATAAGGGGACACGGAGCTCAATGCAGGGCTTCTCCCAAAATCCCAGTGTCCAATTCCTCGTGTCCATGAGGATGTGCAGCCTCATTGCTCTGATTTTTCCTATAATTTCTCTATTCTTTTCCACGAGTCCTCTATTTTTCCTACAACTCCTCTATTTTTCTCTATTTTCTGTAATTTTTTTTCCATAATTCTTCTATTTCTTCCACAATTCTGCTATTTTTCCTGTAATTCCTCCATTTCTTCCACAATTTCTCTATTTCTTCCACAATTCCTCTATTTTCCTGTAATTCCTCTATTTTTCCTATAATTCCTCTATTTTTTCCTGTCATTTTCATGTGACAAAGGAGCCCAGAAACCTCCCGGATCTTCCTAAAAGCATTTGGGGAATATTCGCAGCTTCTCCAGTAAATTTTGGCTTGGGAATGACTTGGATCCCACAGATCCTCCCGGAGCTGAGAATTCCCCAAAAGCAGGGATTGGAAAAGTGGGATTTGTCCGTTCCTGGAGGTCAGGGCTTCCCTGAGCTCCACGTGCAGAAAATCCAAGGATTCTGTGCTCTGTGGGATGGGGTTTTTTGGATTTAAATCAGATGTAAAATGGAAATTCATGCAGATTAATACCAAGTGTCTCTTGCAGCTCTTTACAAACCTCAACGATAAATATTTTCCTTAAAAACAAAGAGGGAAACGGGGAAATAAAAGATCCCACGGAGCATTTCCACACTTAAACTTCAATTTTCCTACAGAACCCCCAAATCCCTCCACATTTCCAGGCAACTGCTGAAAAATCCTCCCTCTTCATCCCCTTCCACCACCCAGGGTTTTCAGAGCAGCCTAAAAACCCCTCAAAAATCAGAATTAAGTCAGAGTTTAATCAGAGTTAAGTCAGAGGTAAATCGGAGTTAAAATCAGAGCTGAAATCGGAGTTAAAATGGGAGTAAAAATTAGAGTTAATCAGAATGAAATCGGAATTAAATCAGAGTTAAATCAGAGTTAAGTCAGAGGTAAATCGGTGTTAAAATCTGAGCTAAAATCAGAGCTAAAATCGGAGTTAAAAACGGAGTTAAAATGGGAGTTAAAATGGGAGTTAATCAGAATTAAATCGGAATTAAATCAGAATAAAATCAGAGTTAAATCAGAGTTAAATCAGAGCTAAATCAGAGTTAAGTCAGAGGTAAACCAGAGTTAAATCAGAGTTAAAATCGGAGCTAAAATGGGAGTTAAAATGGGAGTTAAAATGGGAGTTAATCAGAATTAAATCGGAATTAAATCAGAATAAAATCAGGAATAAATCAGTTAAATCCGAGTTAAATTCGAGCTGAAATGGCTCACCTATCCTCCTCTGCTGACAGGAGGAGGGGGCACAGGAGAGCAGCAGCAGAAGCGCAGCCAGAGCCGGAACCATCTCGGCTTTTTGGGGCCGGGCGGGTGCAGCAGCTGCTCCTGCAGGGACTTTGGGACCCGCAGGTTTCCCCTGCGCTCCCCATTCGTGGGTTGCTATTTATGGAGCCACATTCCTTCCCCCGGAGTTCTTCCTGCGATGCCGGGACGGGGCTGGACGTCATTCCTGGTGCTCCTCCAACGGAGAGCGCTGCAAAAGTAAACAATGTGAGAAACTCATCAGCGGACGAGCTGAAATTGCTTTTTGAGGTTTTTTTTTCGTGCTAAAATAGGTCAGAATATTCCAGAATCCAAGGGATTTTTTGGGGGTTTATTYCTTCCTCACGGATGTGAGATCCCGCGCGGATTTTCCTTCTGGGAYATCAGCAGAATTTCAGGAAAAGGCTCTTTTTAAACTCCCCAAAGGCGAATTTCCCCGCTCAGAGCTGGGGGAGCGTCATGGAATCACCTCCAGCTCCCAAACCCATCCCAAAGGGACCGGGAACATCCCGGGACGGGGATTTTTATCCATCCCACCCTGTCTGAGGAAGGATGAGGTGCAGAGGGCAGGGAAAAAAAGGAGAATCCGCAGGGTTTTGTCTCCATCCAGCATTTCCCACCCGGGAGGATGGAGAAAGGAGCAGCGAGGAAAAGCTGCCCCGAGGGAAAACCTCCCAGGAAACGGCAATTCCAGGAAAAARTCGCAGGTGAAAAGCGCTGCCTGTGGGAAAGATCTGGAGGCAAATCCCTGCTCCACATTCCCAGAGGGAATTCCAGCGCTCCCGGCACACAGAAGCTCAGTCTGTGAAATGTGGGAGCAGCAGGAATTCGGGATATTTACAGAAATWGGGGATTTTTTTTTTCCCTGGTTGAACCTCAGACCTCCCGTGCTGAGGAGAAGCTCCCAGTGCTGGGCACACAAAGCCCCAAATAAATGGAATATTCCCAGTTTGGTGTCCCAGGACACGCAGATTTCACTTTTTTTTTTTGCACCAGATTTCACTGGGAACGCAGGGATTTGCTCTCAGTGCCATTGGCACACCCAGCCAGGAACTCAACCCCACAACCTGCAGGGTTTGATCCTTGTGGGAGGATCAAAATTATGGAATTCCTCAATTTTTGGCATTTCAGGACAGATCAACCCCACACCATTATTATCATTATTATCATTATTATCATTATTATCATTATTATCATTATTATCATTATTATCATTATTATCATTATTTCCATTATTATTATTGAAGATAAGAGATGCCATTTTTTCCCCCTGACGTCCTGGGAAATCTGATTTATCATTTGGATTTTCCAGCAGAAAATGAGGAGTGAGAAATTCCCTGTCCCAAATCCCTCAGGGAATATTGATTTATATCGATTTATATCAAATCTGATTTGCCATTTGGATTTTCCAGCAGCAGATGAGGAGGGAGGGAGTGAGAAATTCCCTGACCCCCATCCCTCAGGGAATATTGATTTATATCGATTTATATCAAATCTGATTTGTCATTTGGATTTCCCAGCAGCAGATGAGGAGGGAGGGAGTGAGAAATTCCCTGTCCCCCATCCCTCAGGGATSAAACCTTTCCCCCAGAGCTGTCACATTTGGGGTCTCTCCAGCCRGGGTTTGAGGATGCTGCCAGAAAAATGCAGAATTTTCACATTCCCACCCCAAAGCAATGCAGCARTGCCTGTTATGGCAGTGCAGGGGTTCAAGGAAAAGCACATTACTTCACCAGAGGCCTGAGAGGACATTAATTTAAAAAAAAAGGGGTTTTGCCAACTGTTTATTAAAAAAAGGAATTTTTTTAAACTGTGGAGAAGTCATAAAAGTGCAGAAAGAAAGGGATGTAAGTGCCGTGGAATGAGGAGTGGACAGGGGTCACTGGTGGGAACAGCTGAGCCAAAAATCTGCTTTTTGTGGGCAGCAATGAGAGTCCCAAACCCTCCCTGTGCAGGAAAAGGAGCTGGGGATCCCAAATCCTGCAATCCCAAAGCCCAACCCCAGGGCAGGGACCAGGCCCCTTCCTGCCATGAATGCTCACCAAAGAAACACGGCCAGAAATTATGTTCTCTGCCATCTGGAGAGATCCAATTTTATTTTTGTCTATTTTTATATACGTTTTAAATTTACTTTTATTTATTTATCAAATGAACCCACAAAGAGCACCCCAAACCAAACCCTTGAAATCCAGCCTCCACCCCAATTCTGTGTTTCCAAATTTTCAGGGCCCCAAATCCCACCAGTTTTGGGATTAGAAAAAAACAGTTTGGACAGCACTGGGACTGGTTTGTGACCCCCCAGCCAGCAAGAAACCCCAATAACTGACATTAAAAGGATATTGAAAGAAACTCCAATAACTGATATTAAAAGGGATTAATGCTCTGATGAAAGAAACCCCAATAATTGCCATTAAAAGGAATTAATGCTTGGCCTATCAAGGATTTTTTTTTTCATTCCCAAAGGAATTTTTCCTTTTGGGATCAGCCCTGGCCACTGAGAGCAGCAGAGCCCAGCAGAGCTTGAGCTGAGCAGGACACGGTGGCTCCACGGGCTGAGCTCACCCCCAGCTCTGTTTTCCTTGGATTCCYCAATTCCTTCCCAAATTCAGCTGTGAAACCCCATAAATCACCCTCCAGCACCCAGGATTTGGCTGTTCCTGTTGAAAAACCCCAAATTCAGGAGGAGCTGAGAGAGCTGACAGGGCAACATCACCCAGGTCAGGGCAGGATTATTTTCCTGATTTTCCTTCGCTTTATTAGTTATTATTTTTTTTTTTAAAAAAAAAAAACCCCAAATGGGGAGCAGAAAATGTTTGTTTGAGGTTTTTTGGAGTCTGGGCGGTGCCAGGTTTGTTACACCTTTTTCCCTGCCTGGAGCTGACATCACAAATGAGAGGAGCTCACAAACAAACACCAAAAAGCAAAGCTCCTGCTGCCTGAAAGCTGAAATATTTTCCATTTCTCTGTTTTGAACAGGCCCCTGCCAAGMGAAGGACAAAAGTCAGAAGAAGGAAAAAGTTATTTTTCAGGCTTGGAAGGTCAGGTTCTAAAAATAAGTGGAAAACATCTCCAGGGCTGGGGATGGGGTGAGAAGGGTTTTGCAGGGGTTCTGATGCATTGGTGGTGTGAAAAAAAAACAAATTTGAGGGAAGATGTAAGGAAATACTCAAAAAAACCTTCTGATTTTATCAAAATTTGGGATTGATTGCTCCTCCCAAAGGTTTCTCTTCCYTGTTTTTAAAAGCTCCCAGTCAGGGGGGTCTCCAGCCACCCCAGRCAGCTTCCAAGGCAGAATTCCCACTGTTTTAGGGGATGGCATTGAAGCCCATTCCTTCTTTTTTTCATTCCCCACAGACTCCAGGAGCAGATTTTCCCTTCTCTGAAATCCCTCTATGGTTTGGGAAAGTCACATTGCAATTCCATGTTTCCACAGGATCYTGGAATCSCAATAAATCCCAATAAATCCCAAYAAATYCCAATAAATCCTAATAAAAATGAGGCTTCCTCACTTGAAGGAACTCTCCTTGTGCCACGGTGCCAGTCCCTGTCCTCCTGTGCTGGCTCAAATTCCTTAAACGGGGATGGAAACAGCTGGAGAAATAAATGATAAAAGTCAAAAATTGAATGATAAAGTCAAAAATTAAATGATAAAGTCAAAAAGTTAATGATAAAGTTAAAACCTCAGGGACAGTGGAGCTGCCTSCAGGTTTAACCCCCTGTCACTGCACTTTGCCACCATTAAATGACACAAAAAGCACTGAGGTGATTTCTGGAAGGTTCCTGGTGCCTCGATTTGTGAGGAATTCTGCTCCAGAGACACAAACAGAGTGCAGCAGGCTGGGGCTGCTCCAGCCTGGGACACAGCACAGCCTGCCATGGATCATTCCATGGATTGGCCGCTCTTYCCATGGATTCATGGATTTATTTCTGATTTTTGCATCACTCTGGGTGTTTATCTGCAATAATGAGCCCCAAGCTCTGCTGCTACTGGTTTCMATCATTAATTAATAGCCCAAGGTCGTTACCTCAGTGCTGCCAGCAGCTCCAAGTGGATCCTTTCGGATTCCTGTTTGTTGGGAGWGTGTTTTAGCAACGGCTGAAATGGGGGTTTGTACACCATCAGGCTGGAAAATGCTGTTTGTGCAGCCTTCCAAAAGCAGGGCTGTTGTTGTGTCTGCGAGCACGRAGCAGAGAGGTGGGACAGGCTGGGGATCCTGCTCCAGCTGCAGCTCCAGCTGCTCTCCAGTGTGCTCTGGGAATTCACAAATGTCAGGCTGGAGCCTTCAAAGGAAGGAAAAACTGCTGGAAATTCGGATTTCTCTGAGGGGTGTCTGGTGGATCTGCTCCTGGTGAG